TCCAATGATCAATGTCATATTAGCCACAGACTTATTAACAAAAATTAAAATCATACTCTTAAACAAATTCATTAAAAATAAGAAGCCATATTTACCAACACACTAGATTATTTCTTTAAAAATTTAATGTAGCTACATTGCACCACTGGTTTCTCATTTCAAAGTTTAATCAATAAGCTGTTTATTGATGCAAATAAGGATTTCCAATTGATTAGTTTAATTACGAAAAGCTTTTTTGAAGAAGAATTGCACATTCTACAAATCAGAGAATTCTTTCCTAGAAAACATTGCAAGAAATTAAAAAACTTTATTCCATGGCACCCATCTTTAGTTGATTATCTACCAGCAGAAAACATCACCAAAGATAGTAAGACAAACTACCTTCCTACACTCTAATAAAGGACTTATTCTTCAAACACGACCTTTTTATGTCATGTACCTAGTTGTATTTATTTGCACCCTAGTTTAATTGAGCCTTAACACCTTAACATCAGTATCCATATTCTCCACACTTTTCTCTATACATTTCCTTTAGCACTGAGAAGGAGAATTTGTTTAACAATCAAAGCTTCTTAGGTTAGGAATCATTTCCTTTATACTCATTATCTTGATGAATGATTCAGCAGTACTGCTGCGAGGAGACATTACAAGCTCGTCGCTCTAAAGGCTTAAAAGGTAAATGAGGGTAGGCCACTGTTATTGCATTAGACATCACTGTTCTCTAGGTTTTCTGACACTTCTCACTGAACAGTTATTGATTACAATGATTACAGGAGAATGTCGTCAAAGGGTGATCACTCACCTGGCATTTAGCTCCTTGTGCCCTATATTTTCTTTACTCCCTCTCTCCCACATACCATAATCTGGAGTTCTGTAAGCTCGCTCGATGTAATACACAAGATTCTGAACAAAGTTAACCTCATCACTTGTGTAAATAATCTAAAATAATCATAAAGCATTTGATTAATCATATTTACCAGCTAGGTGAGGTTAGAGTTTCACTTTGAACAATATACTTTTTCTCTTGACCTCAAACCATTGCATGAATGACACTTAAGTTCCACTATTTACCTGTAGTCCTGATGCAGTCATTTGGACCAGGGTTAAAAGGTACAGAGATACAGCATCCATCTGAAACATCACAAAAAAAAGAGAGATGGAGAGCTTATCAAAACACAAAATTGTAATAACAGCATTATCTCGATATAATAAAACCCCCACTCTTAAATTGCCTTCCAACAGATTTCATGACCTGTATTTACTCTTAGATTTTAGGCCCCTTGTAAATAAAGAGAGATAAAGCAAACTTAATTAAGCTTGAATATAAAATGGAAGAAAAAGACTGAATGCAGATACAATCAAAGTTAGCTTCAAACCTGCAAATGAGCCCATTCGGAATCTGATGCAATTGTGTCCCCAGTGTTCACGTTAAATTTGACATGAAGGGAATTCTGTGCTGACTGGTTCTTTTTGAATTGTTCCACCTAGCAGCAAAACACAAATATAAATGCATTTATTCAGTTAATGAAACATTCTCAAAATAGAGAAGACACATTCTAAGGTTGAAATGCTTTAACGCTCCCATGAGGGACCAAGATATAATAATTTTTCCTTATAGTATCCATACAATATCAAGAAGACAAGTGCTAAAGAACAACGAAAAATATTGATTAGGGATTATTAGTAAATCCAATATCCAATTTTTTCTGCACTAGCATCATAAGCATTGTATTACAAACAATAAGGAGAATAGCTAAATGAGATCTTGAAAGTGAAAGGGCCAACTATGCCACTGATTTAGAGAGTGAGTGAAGAACAGAATGATAATGGTTAAACAAATGACTGACTGACTGACTGCTTGTTTGGTTGAAGATGCAAGAGTGATATGTAATTGTACAATAAAGAATTTTTTCAATCAGTTTCAAAATTCCTAATGATCCAATGTTTCACACCACAGTCATTGACTATAGACCAATAATACTTTGAAAAAATTCATATTGAACCAAGTCAGGATACTTAAAACAAATTCCAAGTGCGTTTCAGTAACCTTGTCAGCCTGCCTCATGTAACAGAAAAGGATTCCTCTCATGCATTTCACAGCAGCCTGCTGAAGTTCATATGCACGTCCTTTGCTGTCGTCCATATGTCTGAGAGAGAAATTTTACAGCAAAAATCATGGCTTTCATTTGTAATCCATACCTGCTTGATGGAATTCAATAGCTCAATCAGAGTTACAGAGTAGTCTTAAGATTATGAAAAAAATATGGCAAATAGTTCAATGCTTTAACCCTTTAACTCCCATGAGTGACCAAGACAGAATTTCTCCTCACAAAATCAATACAATATCAACCAGATAAGTGATGAGAGTAAAGAAAAATATCAATTTGGGGATAATTAGTTGATCCAATACTAAATTCTCTGAAGGAAAATTATGAGAATTGTGTGGTTGACAGTAAAGAGAATTACAAATTTGATCTAGGATTTAAAGGGTTAACTTTGTTCCAAACACATTGCAAGTAGTCAGTTGTACAGACTGAATTGCAGGCTTTGTATTCAACATTACACACCTGTAGGCAAGTGCCAGAGCCCACACACCCATTGCACAGTAAATATTATCTCGCACATGACTCTCTTCATTATGAACATTAGCTGTATGCATAGGAAGCAGTCCAATGCTTGCACTTTGATACTGAAGGATTTGTCTTGTTACTGAAAGAAATTGACACAACTAATGAGTGAAGTAACACAGACATGTATGTGTACATCTACAATGTATAATTTTGAAATAACATCTGTGTTCCTTGTTATTATAAAACTTTGAATTAGATGGCATGTCAGGAGCTACATATATATGTAAGTTGATGCAAGTACACTTTAGAATTTTAGCCTAAGCTCATCTATTATTAACTACTTAGTATGGTAAAAAAAAACCACAAACAAACAAAAAAAAAAATAGGAATGAGTTACAAGTAAGGCTGACTATAAACGGATATTTGAAATATCATTACGCAACCGATAGTCATAATTTTTTCAAAGGAGAACAATTTACCTCGCTGATAATAAATATCAAGTTTTTCCCTCCTTTCTTCTTCATCCATCACTGCATCACTGGTGGAATCTCACATTTCAACTATTATAAATTTAGTTTGTGGTCTCGATCCTCTTGATCGCGCTTTAGTATATCCGCCATGTTTATTTTCTGAACCTCGCGCGGTAGTCTGGGTAGCTTATTCAGGACAGTAAATGGAAAATTAAAATCTGGATAGGACTTTCCTTCGATACCACATGGGATGTGATCACTCGCGTTTTCCCGCGTTTCAAGCAGTTTGCCTGTTTTCCTGAGGAATTTCCGTTGGTTTTTCTTATTTTATTTATGAAATAAGCCATAAATAAGTATAAACAAAGGTTCCAGATATATACCTCTTACTAAACGAGTTCGAAATCCGAGCGGGAAAAGCGTGGTTCTGTAACTTACAGCGCGGAACGTGAAAAAGAAGATTAATGAAATAATATGCTAGCAACATAAAAAGCAACTTTTGCTGGCACAATCTATGAGGGCTTACAAGGGAGGGATTCTATGGCTATGTGGTGGACAACCTTGCAATAGCTTACTTAAAAGGAGTCCTTCTACTCAGTAGGCGTACCAGTTATGTTCAACCTGCTTTGAGTAAAAGGTTTTGGTAAACTTCTTAACCCAGTTCAGTCTCGCTGGTCAGATTTAACTTGACCTCTTTAGCCTGACAATATTGTGTATGAAATTTGAACGGTTAAGATACCTTTGCAGAGAGAGAAACTCTCGATTCGTGTAGCTCCACAACGCTATTCTCCTTTTTGTCGGAGCATTGGCTTTGGGTTACCTTCCTTTGATATGATTAAAAGCATACGACTGTGCTATTCTTTTTCAACAAATTTTATTTGCTTATCCAAAACTTCTTCTCTTTACTTATTCTTTTAAATTCTGCCATCAATTTCAGTGTAAACACTCATGATACCAAACCTCCAACAGGTAGTCAAAGAAATGTTTGATAATATTACGCTGCCTTGCCTGCAGATCTTTTAAATGTCTAACAGTTCGTGCAATGCACAAACGCCTGCAGAAGTGAGCACTACGCATAATAAGCACTAA